CTGCCTGTGCTCCGGCGCCGCTGGGGACCGGTTGGGCGACAGCGCCCTCCTCTCTGGGGCTACACGGAGGTGGTTCCTGGTGCTCAAACCCCTCACCACCTCACTTTCCCTTCCCGACCCGGGCAGCGCTGCCCCCACATCCTCAGCCCCCCGACTTCCCTCCCGACCTCGCCCTCCGGCGCCAGCCCTGCCCCCTTGGTTTTCTGCGCCCTCTTCGCACAGCGCCCCCGGACCGCTCCGAGGGCGGCCTTTTGAAAAACCTTTGTGGAGGAGTGAGTGAACCAGAGCCGGGGAGCTGTCTGAGGGCGAGGCGGCGCGCGAGGTAGGAAGAGACGATGGCTTCCTCCTCCGGCAACGATGACGATTTGACTATCCCCAGAGCTGCGATCAATAAGATGATCAAAGAGACTCTCCCCAATGTCCGGGTGGCCAACGATGCCCGGGAGCTGGTGGTGAACTGCTGCACTGAATTCATTCACCTGATCTCTTCGGAAGCCAATGAGATTTGCAACAAGTCGGAGAAGAAGACCATCTCTCCGGAGCATGTCATTCAAGGTGAGTGTGTTCCGGGTGGGATTTTTTTGTTTGTTTAAGTGACAGTCGCGTGACCCGTTCACGTCAAAGCCCTCATTCCCCTTCCCTGCCCGGTCCCGGAGACATGAAAAGGCCACGCGGGCATGGGGGTAGCCGGAGCCTCGGACAGTCCCTAGGTCGTGCTCGCGTGGTGCTTTTCATCCAGCGAGTGCAGGTGAGGATGGCAGGCATTTGGGCCAGCTAGCATGCATTCCCAAAGGCGAGATGTTAGTCTCGGTTTCCTTACAACCGGGGAAGCCGAGGCAAGAAGGAGAAGTTCGCCTGCCTAGAGTGGAGCCTAGACAATGACAACTGAGAAATCGCCGGCCTAAAGCGAAACGGAGATCAGCAGATCGTGACAACGGAGAAAGGGACCCAGAAAATGAAAATTCAGGCAGGAGCCTCAAGTATGAGTGGGGGCAGCACCCTTTCCCACCGATCTCTTTACTAGTCTAGAGGAAAAGTTGAATTTTCTAGCCGCATGAGTAAAAGAATTCTTCACACGAATGTGTTCAACGCTGTGAAGTTTGTTGGTGGTGAATGGAAGAGTGTATTTCCTGCTTTAAAACTTTTTTGATGGTCCTACCATTAATCAAGAAGTTACCAAAGAAATCCAGTTCTATTCTGAAAGAAAAGAGTGAATATTCTTCCCCTCCCCCTTTTCTTTCTTTCTCACTTTTCTTTAGTTTCCCTTCTTTATAGCTTCCTTTGTTCTATGAAGATAAATTTTTAAAGCTTGTATTAATAGATTTTAAGAGATGTTTTTCATGGAACATTTCCCTATTCTTTCCTGCTGACATTACTATTTAAATGTATACACTTAAACTTTTATTGAACAGCACTTCTGAAAGTTTCAACAATTTCTTTTCTCCTAAATTGGAAAGTAATAGGGATTTGAGAGACCATATTCTGATTATTTGTTTCAGGGATGGAGAGACATATTTACTGGTCATAGTGTGTTGGGAAGTACTTACATATACTCTTATGCAAAAGTTGGGTTCAATTTGAGGTGATAGCTTGCCCCTTATAATAATCCAGTTAAAATCCTATCAATTTCTTGATTGCTTTTGAAGTCAGAAAAAAAGTAATAAGTTTAATGGTTCATTTTAATCATTTTGGTAGGCAAGTGGCTCACCCCTTACCGCCTCTGCCATTTCACTTAGATATATCTTACATTCCTAAATAAACAGTGCTGACAGAAAGTGTAAAAAATGTACCTACTGTGACTTACCTAACTTTCCAGTTAGTCTGTAAAAACGCACTTAAAACACCATTTGGTAGGCAAGTGGCTCACCCCTAACTGCCTCTGCCATTTTATTGTTATAATTTCACTTTTTAAAGGGTGACTTTCCTGTTATTCTGAAGTAGAGAACACATCTGCTCATATTTCCCATATCCAATATTTTACTGTCAATATTGACAAAAGGATTAAATGATTCATTTTTGGTCCTTAATGATGTGTGGGAGGTAGATTTAAAATATACTCTGCCATTTTCACTTTAGTACATAAGGAGAAAATAGATCCCTAGGAAAAAGCATATTCCATTTTTAAGCTACAATTTTTTTCTATTTGTTTGGTGTGCTGGATACCCTTGGCAAGTAAAGTGAAAGTCAAATTGTTTATTTTTCCTCTTGTGTTTTTATTTTTATATTGTATGTGCAGTTGTCAGAAGTCCTTCACAAGATTATCCAACACATAAAAAAGAAAAAGGATCTTTTATCAACATTGCCTTTCTAATGAAAATTGCAAAAAAATTTTAAAGGATCTCCCTAAACATTTGTTTACACCACAGAAGTGGGGATCATTCCAAAAATCTAATAACACATTACAATCTCTTCTTGGGTAGAGTTTATTCTTTTCTAGGATATATTTAGATTTCTGATTGACATGATGGAATAAAAGTGCAGCTGTAGCAAGCAGTATGTTAAATGCCCCAACTTTGGAATATGATAAATTCAGTTTACCATATAAGTCAGAAAGTTCCAATGAAAACATTTTCCTTTGCATACTGAATATGATGTATTAATTTTTTTAAAATCATGTATGGACCTGTTATAGTCTTATAAATTTACCTATTTTTTCTTGTAACATTGACATTGTTTAGTGGATAAGGACCTACCATTTTTGCCCCAAATTCTCCCCAGTTAGATGTTTAGATTTTACACATTTATAATCTCACTAGTGGCTCGGTCCACGAAATTCGTGCACAGGG